CAGGGTCTGAAGCTGTGGGGAGCCAGGCCCTGCCTGAGGGATGCCGGTGCGGGTGTCCCGACCAGCAGTCCAAGCAGAAATCGCTGCAGCTGGGGCAGGCAGGAGCCTCTGGAGCAGCCATGACAGCACTGCCCGGAGGGCTGGAACCCTTGGCTGAGTGAGGGGCAGGATCGGTTGGCGTCTCCCAGCTTCAAGAATGTTCCAGGTTGAAGCTGTGGGGAGCCAGGCCCTGCCTGAGGGATGCCGGTGCGGGTGTCCCGACCAGCAGTCCAAGCAGAAATCGCTGCAGCTGGGGCAGGCAGGAGCCTCTGGAGCAGCCATGACAGCACTGCCCGGAGGGCTGGAACCCTTGGCTGAGTGAGGGGCAGGATCGGTTGGCGTCTCCCAGCTTCAAGAATGTTCCAGGTTCCAGAGCAGCGCAGGGGCTAGTGGTGGGTTCAGGAGGAAGAGGGGGGACATGGTTTCCTCTCCTCTGCCTCCCTGGAGAGCAGCCAGACCTGTCGCAGCTAGAGCGGCTCAACAAAACTGGTCTAAGAATTATTTTTAAGCTGGCACGTCCCTGCCTCCCCTGGAAATTCAGCCTGAAGCAGACCTCTGACATGGAGAATTGGAGCTAGAGCGGTTAAAACGCGGCAAAGTGAGACGCAGCGGACGCCAGAGTCTTCTCATGGAAATTGCCAGGCAACGTGAACTGTCCGCGGCGCCGGTACTGGAACGTGGCCCCTGGACTACAGAGCAACTCTCAGATGCAAATGTCTCTGGCTGGGCTATGGAAAAACCGGCGCTGCCTCCGAAAACCTCAAGGCCTAGGCTGGCCCAGAGCAGCCTGCAGTGGGAGTGAAGAGGCCTCTTCACACTTCCCAGCGTGGACAGTGACGGCTTGCTTGCCCTTTGCAGTGTTCTCATCTTCAGGACGCCCACGGTAGGAAAAAAAGCCCCAAAACATAACAAAACCCTCAGCCAGCAACGGGCCCCCAGCCTGGTTTCCATTGCCTTGCATATTCCCTCCGTCTGCCTGCACTGAAATGACTAACGGGCTGCAGCCCCCAGTGGAAATGCTCCCCTGCCGTGAGCACAGCAGAGAGGCCTGCTTGAGACTGGAAGAGGCCAGGTGGCCCGGGGCTAAGCATGCCAGGAGCGCCCAGGAGCCGCCCTCTCCCCGGGGTGGTGGAAATTCATGCGTCACGCAGGCCTGGCCTGGCAGAGTGGACTGTGCCAGGCCCGGTGCGCTTGTGCTGAAACTGCCAACACTTGGGTCTCGGGGGTAGCTTGGCTCCTGGCAGCTGAGGCTCGTGGAGCCTTGACCCAGCCAGGCAGGAGAGGGGCACACGGTTGTGGGGTGGAAATTGGATGTATTGGGGGGAGGAACCTAGCCCTGCAGCAAAGCCCAGTGCCAGCTCTGTGCACACGTCTACACAAGCGACACCATCCCAGGACCTCACCACATTCTCCACACCGTCAGAGGCTCATACCACGGCACGCCCTCCTGTGTGCCCCACTGCCACGTGTATTGGCCAAACCGGGCAGCCTCTGCCACGCAGGATAAATGGACACAACGCAGACGTCAGGAATGGTAACACACAAACATTTGAACCGCCCCGGACACCCAAGTAAGGGATTTGAAAGGAGCCATCCTTCTCCAAAAGAATTTCAAAACCAGCTTCCAAAGGGAGCCAGCTGAACTGCAGTTCATTGCAAAGCCGCGTAGGACTGACTAAGGATCTCAGCTGGCTAACGCACTACAAAGGCAACTTCCCCACTCTGGATGCTCCAGACCAAATGCTGAGAAGGAGCCACTGCCACCCTGACTAGGATCCCTTCATTGACACACACACAACTCCTCCGTACGTGTACCCCTGCCTCTGCAATGGCCA